ATTTAGCATGCCAAATATTTTGCGGGCGTCGGCGACGTGTCGGCGATTCCCTCAGATCGCGTCTTTGATAATTCACACTGCGTGATTGTCACTCGCGTGAACGAGCACCGATTTTCCTCTGATTTCGGGCATTTGTCATCGATTTCGCAAAACCTGTCGGCGAGTGAAAAATCGGGCTAAAATCGTGCAGTGTGAACTCGGCATAAGTGAAACGGCATCAAACGTCTGTTTTGTTGTCATTCGGCGCCCAAGTGCTCATCACTCTTTAGCTCCGCCCACGGCACGCCTCCAGGAACTCTGCTTTTTTCAGAGAGAATCGTAAAGCTTTTATAAATCTGATCAAACTAAAGACTCTTCTGAGATATGAAGGATGCAATACTACTATATAGGTACTCAAGATATCTTTCTTTTATAATTATGATAAAACTAAAGACTTTTTGGAGATATGAAGGATACAGTACTACTCTATAGGTACTCAAGATTAATATGAGATTGGGTGAAACTGTGTGTGTTATGCCCCCTTTAACAACATTATGTAGACTTAAACATACCAGCACCTTATTTGAACTCTGTCCACTACCACAAAGAAAGCCATCAGCTGCACTGCAATGACTTTATTTATAAACCCCATCTGGTTAGAACTGGACTAGTCAGAGACACCGACAAGATGCGATGCAGTCACACAATACACTCACATTTTGTGGGTGTTATTGCATCACTAAATTGAATTCTATGGAAATCCATGCATAACACAATTTAGCCGGTTACTTCCCTGTATTGTTTTTTTGTTGTGGTTGATTTCAGGTTGTCATCTCAGAAAATATATTTTTGAAACAGACAAAAAGTTCCATATAAAAGTGCCAAAACATTTGATAAGATGCTATCTTGACAGTCATGTGAGTATTGTGAGGAGGAGTGTGGGGAAGAGATGGGTTTTGCTGGTTTCCTGCACCAAAAAAAAAAAGTGTTCTATACCAATACTTTCTGATTTGTTGCTTCAGACAAACTAAGTCAGACAGTGATGACTGAAAGAATTCATACAATCAGACGATGATTTTGAAACTGCAAGAGCAAGAGCAGCTGGAGGTTGTGCCTCGACGACTCCAGACAGATTGTCTGCTTTGAAGCTGTGATTTATGGGCTGCTGGTGGCCGAATCTAAACTCACAGATCACCGTGCCTTTGATGATTTTTCAAGTGTCCACCTTCATCAATCCAACCTGAGAAACCAATAGCCATGTCTGCATTGATCTGGATCTGATCCTGAAACAGACTGACCTTAATCAGGAAAGAGCCACAGAGGGAAATGATATGCGTCAGCACACCTTATATGGTCAGCTTATACACTGAGGCTTTACTAATCACATTGGTTAACGATTTACATTTAATATTTCTATTAGTAAACCTAATTAGTAATATTTCCTCTAAAACATGTTTTTGTTGTTGTTTTCTTTTTGAGGCTAATAATCAGTATTCAGAAAGCAGAAACTTTGGTTCTTAGGAAATAGATCCTTTCCAGGTTTAAGCATTTAATGATGGTGCACATCATGAGACTACCAATGGATATGATATGCACAAAGATCAATATTTAAAATAGTGCATGCATGCTTATAAAAAATGTTGATCAAATTTCAAGACCCACTTTCAGATTAACAGAGAAAATAAAAACAGAAGATTTAAAAAAAATACTTTACATAGGACTTTTGATCCTACTTTTCATACCAGTGTGCATGCCAGTGTGTTTATACTCAACTTTAAAAAAAATATTGATCTTTTTTTTTTCAGAAGACGTATGTTTATCCTTATAGAAAAAGTGCATCTTGCTATTTATTTTTTTCCAACAATTTTATGTGGAAATCTGAAGACCTGTATGCAGGACATTTGATCTCAGTGAACAGCATTTCACACCACAGCATCCAAATTGCATTACATATTTAAACAATAATACAATACAATCATAACTACTTTAAGAACAATAACAGTGTGTAAGCTGCTCTGTGAAATAATCCATAATAAATACATGCTGGTCTTCAGTATGACTCACTTCTTAATCATAAAAAGGCACTATACTGTAACAAATGACTAATTATGTGATTAAACCTGCCATAGTAATCCTTTTATCAGCATTTTATCTGATAAGCTCATTAGTTCAACATATTACATGCATCAAATGAAAGTGACACTGGATATCCAAAACAAAAGCGCAATAGAAATGCAAAAGCATGAAGAAACTCATTTTGTTAGTAGGCTATAGGACTCCCCATTAGGTGGCCTCGTTGACTTGATTTAGGTTGTAACATCTGACAATCCAAATATGTGAGTTTTACGACGCATTCCCTTATTTCAGGTATCAACATCAGCAGTGAAAATAAATCTGCAGCTCTCAAGTGAATTAATGGGCTAGAAATTCATTCATACAGTAGCCTACCGAAGAGAAAAAAGTGTAAGAGCGATAATGAAACGCAGTCATGTAATTCATAGCCTGAGCATAAAATAAAACAAACGCATCATGAATCGTTCAAGTTCAATCGTAATAGAATCGTAACATTAGAGCGCATTAGAGCATCAGAGCTCTTCTGTGACTCCCAGTGGTTTTTTTTGTTTTTTTTTAATTCAGCACCGACTCTAAAACCGGACGACCTACTGTTAGAGTAAATTCTCAAGCCCCTCGGGCTCGGACACGGCACATCTCGGTGTGAAGTGCGTTTGTCGGGTCTCACCGATCGCGCAATCGACGCGCATTGCTCAGGCTCTCGTGAAGAACACCTTCATTTCGACAGGATGAAGATGCGCTGGAGTCAAGCATCGAGGACGGACACGAAGCAAGTTTTCTTTCCTGTCTATTCAAATGAATCGTTTTAAAGACAGGACGGTTCAAAGAGCAAACAGTGCAACATTTATTCGGATAAATGCAAAACGAAGCGCTTCAGTATCATCTAACAGGTCAGTTTAACGTTATTTGCTTGCTATTATAGAGAAAATAGTAGGTGACGTGTGTATTTATTCTCTTAATATTAGTTTTGTCCCTTTTTGACACACAGAAATGCAGGAACAGGTTATTGCTCACTGGAATCTGAAACGTGTCTTTTATGGTATAAGGACTCCTGCATGATCACCACTCCAGGGATCTCCAGATGGGTGAGTCAAAACTGTGTGCAGAGTAATCAACTGAACTTTGTTTTGATGGAAGGAGGACCACTGATGCTACTACAAGATGATTATGTTTCTCTGATTGGCATGCCAGTATAACTGAACTGGACTTTATTGACACTGGAATACAGGGCAGTGTTTTGTGCAATGGAATATGAACTGGGAATACGCAGTCAACGTTACCTGAGGCGTGACAGGTCTGACGGACTCTAAGATGAAGTGTTTGATCACTTTCATGATGCAGTGAGATATTAGATGCACAGGATAATGGCAGTGATGGATTTGAACTTGACGACGGTCATTGACAGCGGCTTCATGGAAAGCGACCGCTCCACGCGGGTTCTGACCGGTTGCTTTCTGTCCGTTCTAATCCTCTCCACTTTACTCGGGAACACACTGGTTTGTGCAGCTGTCACAAAGTTTCGCCACCTGCGCTCTAAAGTCACAAACTTTTTTGTCATCTCGCTGGCGGTGTCAGACCTGCTGGTGGCCATTCTGGTCATGCCCTGGAAGGCTGTGACAGAGGTTGCAGGCTTCTGGCCCTTTGGTGCGTTTTGTGACATTTGGGTGGCTTTCGATATCATGTGCTCCACGGCGTCTATCCTGAACCTGTGCGTTATTAGCGTGGACCGATACTGGGCCATTTCTAGCCCGTTCCGCTATGAGAGGAAGATGACTCCCAGGGTGGCCTTTGTGATGATCAGCGGGGCTTGGACCCTGTCCGTGCTCATCTCCTTCATCCCGGTGCAGCTCAAATGGCACAAGGCTCAGCCGATGAGCTTCCCGGAGGTCAACGCGTCTCACAGGGCTCTGCTGACGGACAACTGCGACTCCAGTCTCAACCGAACGTACGCCATTTCGTCCTCGCTCATCAGCTTCTACATTCCCGTCGCCATCATGATTGTAACATACACTCAGATTTACCGGATCGCCCAGAAGCAGATCCGACTCATCTCGGCTCTGGAAAGGGCCGCGGAGAACGCCAAGATCCGCCACGACAGCATGGGCAGCAGCTCCAACGTGGACACGGAGAGCTCCTTCAAACTGTCCTTCAAAAGGGAGACGAAAGTCTTAAAAACGCTGTCTGTTATAATGGGGGTTTTCGTGTGCTGCTGGTTGCCCTTCTTCATCCTGAACTGCATGGTGCCGTTTTGTAAGCGCACGTCGGCCGGTCTCCCCTGCATCAGTCCAACAACGTTTGATGTTTTTGTCTGGTTCGGATGGGCCAATTCGTCTCTCAACCCCATCATATACGCCTTCAATGCCGACTTTCGCCGAGCTTTTGCCATCCTTTTGGGATGCCAGAG